GATCAGGCGATAAATCAATTGCACCACCACCAGCACACCGAGGAGAAACTGCGCCACTTGCCAGACAAGGGCAAACACCAGCATCCACAGGATGCGCAGGCCGATGGCTTCATACTTGGGGCTGCTTTCGGATCGTTCATGGTGCGTTCCTCAGTTGAAACCACTGGTGGAAATAAAGTCGACGTCGGTTTTGGGCTCGGCCCGCATCAGCAGTTCGATGACCTGGTTCAAGGTGCGCCCTTCGAACAGGATCGCGTGCAACCCGGCGACCAGCGGCATATACACACCCGCCTCCTGGGCCTTGGCCTTGAGCACTTTGAGCGTGTTGACCCCTTCGGCCACTTCGCCCAGGCGCGTGACGGCCTCATCCAGGCTCAAACCCTGGCCGAGGGCGAAGCCCACTTGGTAGTTGCGGCTCTTGGGCGACGAGCAGGTGACGATCAAATCGCCCACGCCGGCCAGCCCGAGAAAGGTCATCGGATTGGCCCCCTGATTCACCGCGAAGCGGGTCATCTCCGCCAGGGCGCGGGTGATCAGCATGCTCTTGGTGTTTTCGCCCATGCCCAGTGCCACCGCCATGCCGGCGATGATCGCGTAGACGTTTTTCAGCGCGCCGCCCAGCTCCACGCCAAAACGGTCGCTGCTGGCGTAGACCCGGAACGTGCGGCCATGCAGGACCGCCTGGACGCGCTCGCACAGCGCCTCGTCGTCACTGGCCACCACAGTGGCGGTCAAGGCGTGCTCGGCCACTTCCCGCGCCAGGTTCGGCCCAGATAGCACGCCGATGCGGGCCTGGGGCGCGATTTCTTCGAGGATTTCGCTCATCAGCTTGAAAGTCTGCGCCTCGATGCCCTTGGTCAGGCTGACCAGCATCTTGCCCGCCAGGCGTTCGGCATGGGGCGATAGCACCGCGCGCAAGGCGCTGGAGGGCAGCGCGACGAAACACAGCTCGCAGTCTGTAAGAGTGGCCAGCAGATCGGTGACCGGCTCGACTGCCGGGTGGATCTTGATGCCTTTAAGGTAGCGCGGGTTTTCCCGGTGTACACGGATGGCCTCGGCCTGCTCGGGATCACGCATCCACTGGCGCACCGGGTGGCCGTTCTCCGCCAGCAGGTTAGCCACGGCGGTACCGAAACTTCCGCCTCCCAGGACCGCAATAGGGCGCTGTTCAGTCATATGCAATCCGTTAATCCATACCAGTGGCGATGGCGGCATTATACGGAGCGACCCGCTTGCGGCCAGCCCCCGTGTCAATTCGCGCGTTTGTCGGAAAATGCCATGCTGGTGTGACGTAATTACGGGCGCGGCGAATGGCAAATGGCCGCGCCTCAGTTAACATGGGCGGCTATCCGTCATTATCAAGGCCGCACCGTGTATTTGGGCCCTCCTCCGCGTTCCTCTCTCTTGCTGATGCTGTTGTGCAGCAACGCCGTGCTGGCCGACGATCTGTTCCTCGACAGCCAGCCGCTGCCGCAGGTATTGACCGCCACGCGCCTCAAGCAATCGGCCGCCGCCGTACCCGGCAGCATGACGGTGATCGACAGCGAGTTGATCAAGGCCAGCGGCGCGCGGGACATCAGCGAACTGCTGCGTCTGGTGCCGGGCATGATGGTCGGCTACACCAGCGGCAATCAGGCGGCGGTCAACTACCACGGCACCAGCGCCAGCGACGCGCGGCGCATGCAGGTGTTGATCGACGGCCGTTCGGTGTATCGCGCGGGTCTGGCCACCGTGGACTGGAGCGACATCCCGGTGGCCATGGAGGATATCGAGCGCATCGAGGTGTTCCGCGGCCCCAACACCGTCAGCTATGGCGCCAATGCACTGATGGCGGTGGTCAATATCCTCACGCGCTCCCCGGCCAACAGCCACGGTTCGCGGGTCAAGGTGATTCGCGGCGAGCGCGGCATCAACGACTTCTATGCCAGCCAGGGCGTGGGTTGGGAGACCGGCGATCTGCGCCTGTCTTTGTCCGGGCAACAGGACGACGGCTTCGACAACGACGCCGCCGGCGCCGACCGCCGTGACGGCCGACGCCTCAACCGCTTCAGCCTGGCGGTCAGCCAGACGCTGAATGCGCAGCAAAGCATCGACTGGCAATTGGATGCCAAGGAAGGCACCAATCAGCGTCCATATACCTACAGCCCGGTGTTCGCCGGCATCACCGAAGGCGGTAATAATTCTGACGTTACCGCCAAGGACTACGCCGCTTCCCTGCGCTGGAATGTCGATTTCAACCCCGAACACAGCCTGTACATCCAAGGGTCGGCCCAGCAATGGGATCGTCGGCAAATCTGGAAAGCCTGCGACGCCAAGGTCTCGTTCAGCCCCGAGCTGACCCAGCTGTGGCAATTGAACCCCAACTACGCGGAAAAACTGGCCCGGCATATGGAGGTCTACAGCCAAGGCAGCGCACCACCGGGCAGTGCCGCCGAACAAGCGCTGGCCAATCAGGTGTTGGATCAATGGCGCAACGGCGCCAACCAGAGCGTCTGCGGCGATATCGACCAAAGCACCCGCGAAAGCCGCTACGACCTGGAGCTGCAGGACACGCTGAGCCTGTCCGACAGCCTGCGCCTGGTCAGCGGCATGAACTACCGCTACGACCGCGCCGACTCCGACACCTACTTCAACGGCACCCTGGACGACACCACCTGGCGCCTGTTCGGCCAATTGGAATGGCGCGCCAGCGAACATTGGCTGCTGCAGGGCGGCGCCATGTATGAAGACACCCACCTGAGCGGCAATTCACTGACACCACGGGTGGCGGTCAACTATCTGATCAACCCGCGCCATGGCCTGCGCGCCGTGTACTCCGAGGCGATCCGCTCGCCGGACATGTTCGAGAACAACGTCAACTGGAGCTACCGCGTCACCAACCTGAGTTCCCCGGCGTTTGGCCAGACCTCCGCGCAATACTTCGTCAAAACCCGGGGGCCGGGTAACCTCGACAAAGAGCGGATGCGCTCGCGGGAACTGGGCTATAACGGCTTCTTCGCCGACATCGGGTTGAACATGGACGTAAAACTGTTCTATGACGAAATCACCGACATGATCAGTTCGCCGTTGCGCAATAACCAATACATCGCCAGCAACGCCAACAGCTCGCGCTTTACCGGCGCCGAATCTCAGTTCGACTGGCGCGTGAGTAACGCCGACCGCCTGCGGCTGACGTATGCGTATGTCGATGCCAGCGCCAGCAACCGGTTGGACAAAGCGCAAACCGCGCGCAACAGTGGCTCGGCCGGCTGGCTGCGTGAATGGGGGCATGGCTGGTCCAGCGCGCTGTTCTACTACGGCGACGATGCGCTCAACCAATACCGCTTCGAACGGGTCGACTTGCGGGTGGCCAAGCGCATCGCGTTGGGCAAAGCCAATGTGGAGCTGGCCGGCATGTTGCAACAACGCCTCGACGACCAGCCGACCACCTGGGCTGATAACACCTACGACCAGCGCCATATGCTGTATTTCAGCGCAGAGTTAGAGTTCTAGCATGGCCGGCCCGTCACGGATGACTTCCCTTTCTATCCATAAGCTCTGGCGCCATTGTGCGCTGCTGGCGTGCCTGCTGCTGGCGTCGCCGACGTGGGCGGCCGAGATCCTGCTGACCGCCGCCGAAGACAGTGACGGTGTGCATGCTTTCACCCAGGCCCTGGCCCAGCAACGTCCCGAAGACCACGTAACGTTCACCCCGCTCAAAGACTTACCCGCCCCCGGTCGCGTGCCTGCCAGCACGCGCCTGATCCTGCTGGACTTGGCCAGCCTCGATTGGCGCCTGCAAGACAACCTGGGCCCACCGACACTGGTGCTGCGTATCAGCCGGTTGCAGGCTCACCAGCGTCCGGGCGCCGCCCAGCATCCGCGCGTGAGCTTGCTGTGGAGCGATCCGCCTCTGGAACGGCAATTGCGCCTGATTGCCAGCATCCTGCCGCGAGCCCGCCGCATCGGTGTGCTTTACGGCACCGAGAGCGAGTTCCTGCTGCCGGAACTGCGCCAGCATGCGGAGCCCCTGGACATGACCATCGTGCCCCAGCGCTGGGACACCATCAGTGACAGTCGCCCGCTGCAAAACCTGTTCAGGGAATAGCGACGTACTGCTCGGCCTGGATGACCCGCAGCTGTACAACCCGAAAACCGCGAAAAACCTGTTACTGAGCAGTTATGCCCAACAATTGCCATTGGTGGGCCCAAATGCAGGATTCGTGCGGGCCGGCAGCTTGGCCAGTACCTACAGCGACCAGGCCGATTGGCTGGCGGTGCTGGACCGCCTGCTCGACCACGCCCCGGCCAACTGGCCGCGCTCGCTGTATCCGGACCACTTCAAAGTCGTGGGCAACCCGCAAGTGGCGCGCTCACTGGGCATCGAACAGTTCGACGAAGCCAACGTCGCCGCCCGCCTGGCCGAAGGAGAAAAACGCCCATGAGCCTGCGCCGTCGTTGGGGCATCAACACCCGCACCCAGCTCATTACCTTGGGGCCGGCGTTGCTACTGACGTTGCTGTTGATCAGCTTCTTTACCTTCGTGCGTATCCAGGACTTGCGCCAGGAGCTGGATCACACCGGCCAATTAATCGCCAACCAACTGGCCCCGGCCACCGAATACGGAGTGATTTCCGGCAACAACGATGTGCTCGAAAGCCTGCTGCGCGCCACCCTGGCAACGCCCCATGTGCGTTTTCTGGAAATCCAGGACAGCGCCGAAAATATCTTGGTATATGTCGAACAGCCCTCGGAAAAACATGACCGCTCGCTGTCGGTGAAAGTGTTCCAGGCGCCGATTCGTCTGCAGCACATTCAGCTGGGCAATGACTTTTTCCAGGACAACCTCACCGAGCCGAAGGCCCCGCGCGCGGATTATCTGGGCCGGGTCATTGTCGGCATGTCCAACGATGCGTTCAGCCAACGCCAGCAGGAAATCCTGTTCAAGGCCGGGATTCTCGCGCTGTTCACGCTGCTGTTTACCTTCTTGCTCGCCCGACGCCTGGCCGCCAGCCTGTCCCAGCCGATCAGCGCGATGGGCAACGCCGTGAAGGCCATTCAGCAAGGCCAGTACAAGACTGCGCTGCCGATTGTGGACGACTCGGAACTGGGTGACCTGTCGCGGCATATCAACAACCTGGCCGAAGGTCTCAACCAGGCCAGCCGCGAACAGCAGCAGGCCATGGCCCAGTTGATCCAGACCCGCGAAGAGGCCGAGCGCGCCAACAATGCCAAGTCGGATTTCCTGGCGATGATGAGCCACGAATTGCGCACGCCGATGAACGGTGTACTGGGCATGCTGCAATTGCTGGAAACCACCGAGATGACTGAGGAGCAGACCGAATACGCGGCGCTGGCCTCCGAATCCACCGAGCATCTGCTCAAGGTGATCAACGATATTCTTGATTTTTCGCGCATCGAACGCGCGGCTCTGGAACTGGAACATATTCCGTTCAACCTCACCGACCTGATCAACAGTTGCGCCCAGGCCTTCCAACATAGCGCCCAGCAACGAGGGCTAGCGCTGCGCTTGCCGATCCCGCCGGGTATGGACGCACTACGGGTGCGGGGCGACCCTACGCGTATCCGCCAGATTCTGGTGAACCTGATCGGCAATGCGCTGAAGTTCACCGAACACGGCAGCGTCAGTGTCGAGCCGCACTGGCAGACCCTCGACCATGAACTGGTGTGGTTCACCTGCACGGTGCGCGACAGCGGCATCGGGATTTCCGCCGAACGCCTGGAATTGATGTTCGACGCGTTCCAGCAAGCCGACAGTTCCATTTCAAGACGTTACGGCGGCACCGGCCTCGGCCTGCCCATCGCCCGCACACTGGCCGAACGCATGGGCGGCACCCTGCGCGCCCAGAGCGAAGAAGGTCGCGGCTCGGTGTTTACCCTGGAAATCCCTCTGGCTATTGATCAGCAGAGCCTGCCGTCCATCGCCCCGGATGCCGAACGTAAAAATAGCGCTGGCGAAGGGCGCCATGTGCTGTTGGTGGAGGACAACCCGGTCAACCGCACGGTGGTCGAGGCCATGCTGCGCAGTCTGGGGTTTGAGGTGAGCCTGGCCACCGACGGCGCCGAGGCGATACGCAGCGCCGAGAGCCTGATTTTCACCGCGATCCTGATGGACTGCCGACTGCCGCTGATCGACGGCTACGAAGCCACCCGACAGATTCGCCAGTTACCCGGCTGCGCCGATTTGCCGATCATTGCGCTCACCGCCAATGCCTTGCAGGGCGACCGTGAAGCCTGTCTGGCGGCCGGAATGAACGATTACCTGGCCAAGCCGTTCAAACGTACGGATTTGCAGCATGTCCTGCAGCGTTGGGTGCAGTAATACGGCCTTATCAGCCAACTGCGACTGGCGTGAAAGGCGAAAGTGCGGCAGTCTTAGGCACCCAAACGGGCCCTTGAACGGGCCCGGTTTAAAATTTCAGTGAACAAGTGTACATTCAGTACCTTGACGCTGTGACTTTCACTACAACGCAATAGTCTATGTGTAGGCTGCCGGCCTGAGGCATGAACGCTTCAGTCGGTTCGGGAAGATTTGCCCTACCCTGCCGCATGGGATTATTGAGGAGCTCGCATGACCAAACAAAACGCCTTTACCCGGGAAGACCTGCTGCGCTGCAGTCGCGGTGAGCTGTTCGGCCCAGGTAACGCGCAACTGCCCGCCCCTAACATGCTGATGGTGGATCGCATCACCCATATCAGCGAAGAGGGTGGCAAGTACGGCAAAGGTGAATTGGTCGCCGAGCTGGATATCACCCCGGACCTGTGGTTCTTCGCGTGCCATTTCGAAGGCGACCCTGTCATGCCGGGCTGCCTGGGCCTTGACGCCATGTGGCAGCTGGTCGGTTTCTTCCTCGGCTGGCAAGGCCTGCCGGGCCGCGGCCGCGCCCTGGGTTCGGGCGAAGTGAAGTTCTTCGGCCAGGTCCTGCCGACCGCCAAGAAAGTCACCTATAACATTCAAATCAAGCGCGTCCTCAAGGGCAAGCTGAACCTGGCCATCGCCGATGGTTCGGTGAGCGTCGACGGTCGCGAGATCTATACTGCCGAAGGCCTTCGGGTCGGCGTATTCACTTCCACTGACAACTTTTAAGGGTTATCCGCATGCGCCGCGTCGTTATCACTGGTCTGGGCATCGTTTCTTGCCTGGGCAATGACAAAGAGACCGTCACCGCTAACCTGCGTGCAAGTCGCCCTGGCATCCGCTTCAACCCGGAATATGCCGAAATGGGTCTGCGTAGCCAGGTTTCCGGCTCCATCGACCTGCCCCTCGAAGAACTGATCGATCGCAAGATCTACCGCTTCGTCGGCCACGCCGCCGCCTACGCCTATCTGGCCATGAAAGACGCCATCGCCGACTCCGGCCTGAGCGACGACCAGGTTTCGAACGTGCGCACCGGCCTGATCGCCGGCTCGGGCGGTGCATCCACCCTTAACCAGATGGAAGCGCTGGATATCCTGCGCGAAAAAGGCGTGAAGCGCGTCGGCCCGTACCGTGTCACCCGCACAATGGGCAGCACCGTTTCGGCCTGCCTGGCCACGCCGTTCCAGATCAAGGGCGTGAACTACTCGATCTCCTCCGCCTGCGCCACCAGTGCACATTGCATCGGTACCGCGGTCGAGCAGATCCAGCTGGGCAAACAGGACATCGTCTTCGCCGGCGGCGGTGAAGAAGAACATTGGAGCCAGTCGTTCCTGTTCGACGCTATGGGCGCGCTGTCCACCCAGTACAACGAAACTCCGGAAAAAGCCTCCCGAGCCTACGACGCCAAGCGTGACGGTTTCGTCATCGCCGGCGGTGGCGGCATGGTGGTGGTCGAGGAGCTGGAACACGCTCTGGCCCGTGGCGCCAAGATCTACGCGGAAATCGTCGGCTACGGCGCCACTTCCGACGGCTACGACATGGTTGCGCCAAGCGGCGAAGGCGCCATCCGCTGCATGCAGATGGCCATGTCCACCGTGGATACCCCTATCGACTACCTGAACACCCACGGCACTTCGACCCCGGTCGGCGATGCCAAGGAAATGGAAGGCGTGCGTGCGGTATTCGGCGACAAGGCTCCGAAAATCAGCTCCACCAAGAGCCTATCCGGTCACTCCCTGGGCGCCGCCGGCGTTCACGAAGCGATCTACTGCCTGCTGATGATGGAAGGCAACTTCATGGCCGGCTCGGCCAACATCGAAGAGATCGACCCGGTCGTCGCCGATATGCCGATCCTGACCAAGACTGTCGAGAACGCCAAGATCGACACCGTGATGAGCAACAGCTTCGGCTTCGGTGGCACCAACGCCACCCTGGTGCTGAAGCGCTGGCAGGGCAAGTAAGCCCTGTAGGTTGTTCCCATAAAAAAGCCCCGACTGGTTCGGGGCTTTTTTATGGGCTTCGGAAAATCCTGGTGCAGGTACGGGGGCTCAAGGAGCGCCTTCATCTTGATGGCTCTTAGGCAGCACGGCCAGGAAGTTATCCCGCGCCACTTTACGGGCCACCGCTTCAGGCAGCGCGTCAAGAAAGGGGTCGAAGCGGTGCATTTCCTTACCCAGCTTATTGAAGCGTCCGACGACGTCAGAGCCCAGCATAAAGCGCTCCGGGAAACGCTCCACCAGGGCCACCCACTCAGGCCGTGGCTTGCCCGCCTCGTCCAGCAGATAAGGAGTGAGCATGCTCCAAGACAAATCCACATACAGGTTGGGGTACGACTCCAGCAGACGGCTCAAGGAGGGCAATAGAAAGTCCATCTGCACCTGATGCCGGTGAATCTCTTTGCTGGTACCGGCATGCGCCCAGATAAACCGGGTGTGCGGGTGGTTGCGCAGCGGTTCTTCCACTTCGGCCAGGTACAGCGGGTTGCGCTCGCGCTTGGAGGTGATGTTGGAATGCAGCATCACCGGCAGGTCGTTTTCGGCGGCCAGGTGATAAATGCGGGTCATGGCCTCGTTGTTAGCGCGCGGGGTGTCGCCGGACGTCAGGGCCGTCAGATCATCGTGACGGGTGAACACCTCGCCGATGCCCTGCCACAGCCCCGGATTGAGGTCGAGCATGCGCTGGATATGCGCGTCGGAGTTTTTGTCATTGGGGTTGAAGCCAGACAGAAACGGGTGAAAGTGCCGGCGCTGGGCCGGGGTCAGCTTGTTCACCGCGGCCGCCACGATCACATCGGTGGCGCTGTACCAGTAGGCATCAGCATCATCGCCAGCGTAGTAGCGTGGGCGCTTGGGTTCGTCTTCATGCCATTTCTTGGCCACGGGTATGCCAGAAATCATCACATGCTCGATGCGATTTTCCGTCATGGCTTTGAGCAGTTTGTCCATGCCCGCGCTTTCTTGAAAGAAATCCACGTAATGCAGGTGCGCATCGCTGTAGGCATAGTCGCGCGCCTCCACGGCGTAGCTGCTGCAGGCGACCAACAGGGCAAGACTCAAGCGGGTCCAGGGCACGGTAAGCTCTCGATAGGCGTGGGATACAGGTAGACCCTGCCCTCCCTTGCCGGGTTCATACCAAAAAAAGCAGGAACACCTAAGTGCCAGCATGCTCTATAACTGCATGACCTTCATCCTGCCATCCCTGTGAGGTTTGCCATGTCTGTTATCGTCAACACGCTGAACACCGAAAACTATCGCCACAGCGTCAATATCAATCACCACGAGCTGTTTACCGACCTGCCCAAAGACCTGGGTGGCGACGACTCTGCGCCCTCCCCCCACGATTATTTCGACGCCGCGCTGGCCTCGTGCAAGGCCTTGACGGTCAGGCTCTACGCGCAAAAAAAGGATATTCCGCTGACCGGTGTCACCGTTGAAGTGACCCACGACGCCGCCCAAGAGCAAAAAGGCCGCTACGCGCTCAACGTCAAGCTGACCCTCAAGGGCGTGCTCAGCGACGCTCAGCGTGATGAGCTGCACCACGTGGCCGATCGCTGCCCGGTCCACAAACTGATGACCACCGCCGACATCAACATCGAGACCACCCTCTCCGAAGGCGCCTTCAGCCAATAGCGGCAAGCTCCTGTCGAGCGGGTTATGCTCAGCGCATTCCAACCCGCTCAGACAGGGATGCACCATGACCACCCTCACCGTGATTCGCCCGCGCCAGGAAGATGTAGAGGGCCAGCCGATTCTGCGCCCGCTACCGTCGCGAGACTGCCGCAGCGTCGGGCCATTCGTTTTCTTCGATCATATGCTGCCGACTCGCTATGCCCCCGGCACCGGCATGGATATCCGCCAGCATCCGCACATCGGGCTTTCTACCCTTACCTACCTGTTCGAGGGCGAACTGCAGCACAAAGACAGCCTGGGCTCCGATCAAGTGGTGCAGCCGGGCGATGTCAGTTGGATGACCGCCGGCAGCGCAATTGCCCACGTCGAGCGCACACCCGAGGCGCTCAAGGCCAGCGGTTTTGCGCTGCATGGCCTGCAAGTGTGGCTGGCGTCCCCCAGGGACCACGAAACCGGGCCAGGCCATTACAGCCATCACCCGGCGGCGAGTTTGCCAGTCAGCGACGCACTGGGCGTGCAGATCCGCTTGATTGCCGGCACTGGCTTCTGCCTAAAGTCACCGGTGCCCGTACTGTCGCCCACGTTGTATGCCGATGTGCACATGCAAACGGCCACCACGCTGCTGATTCCCGATGAGTATGAGGAACGCGCCGTGTATGTGCTGGCAGGTGACGCGCAGCTCGATGGCGAACCGTTGCAGGCGCATAGCCTAGTGGTATTGCCGAAGGGAGAGACGATGACGTTGTCTGCCGAATCCGACTGTCATCTGGTGGTGTTGGGCGGAGCACCGCTGGATGGACCGAGGCGGATCAATTGGAATTTTGTCGCGAGTGATCCTGCGGTGATCGAGCAAGCCAGGCAGCGTTGGGCGGCTGGGGATTGGCCAACGGTTGCGGGGGAATCGGAAAGGATTGAGTTGCCTGGGAGATAGCCATCGGGGGCGAGCCCCCTCCCACACATGATCGGATTCAGATCGTCAAAGTGTTGGAGGGGGTTCGCCCCCGATAACGCCGGAACAGGCGCTGAAAACTCAGCCTTTGAACACCTCATCCAGCAAATTATGCATCGACTGGAAGGCCCGCGCGGCAGTCTTCGCGTCGTACATCATCTTGCCCGGCACATTGGCGTGCGGGTCGGTGAAGGAATGCACCGCACCGCCGTAGCTGAGCAACTGCCAATCCACACCAGCGGCGTTCATTTCATCATCGAACGCCGGCAACTGCTCCTTGGGCACCAAGGGGTCCGAGGCGCCATGCAGCACCAGGACGGAACCTTGGATGTTCTTGGCATCCGACGGGTTTGGTGTGTCGAGGGTGCCGTGGAACGACACCGCAGCCTTCAACGGCGCGCCGGTACGGGCCA